TAAGCCAAAAACCAGGCTAACTTCATCGTCTGGCCTTGAGCTTTGTTGATGGTTAGTTCAAAACTTAGATCTACGAGCTTGAAATGGGGGAAATTTGCTGGAATCATTGGGATGTAGATATCTTCTCCTGCAACTTGGCCTGTCGGAAGCGTCTATGATGTTACGTCATGGATGTTTGACGACTAACCTGGTTCAATTACATAATCTAGGTGGATCCATTTTTCTTAATCATGATGGGAACTCCTTTCTTTAATGCGAGATTATGCAAGGCAGGTGGTTTACGATTGGTTTATGACATAGGGTGAAAATGAAAACCCAGATAGTAAATACTTTTGCTTTATTTCAGTGAATTGCACTGAAAATATTATAGGCCTATAGCAGCTGTGCATAACACAGATGATTTTGTTATATGTATAAATACCATAATGTACACGTTTTATATATAGGTCCATAACTATAGATTTAGTGCAAACAATAAAAGTTCTGTCCCTGTGGCACTGCCTCCGGCATTGGTACCATTATTAAGCAATTAATGATTAAGCGACAGGGTTTATAATTACATAGGCCTATCTTGGTATTTAATAGTTAATTCATTTAGATAGATGTACGATAATATATTATTAGTGAACGCCTGAAAAAAGCACGTTGCTGGGTCGTACGAGACCACAGCTCCTTTCCCTGCTGATTGTCAGTGGCAGCAAAAGATACTAAAAATACAAGATAGAGCACTCGCGTAAGAAAAAGTGAGGCGGAAATTGGTCCAGACGTACTCGGCGCCCTTCTCTTTTTATAATAGAAGTTTTCATAGTTTTCAAGTTTTCATATTATATCTCTATGGAAGTTTTCTATACTTGGTTCAGACGTACAGGGCGCCCTTCTGTTGCTAGGTACAGATCATAGAGCTATTATTATATCTCTATGGTACAGATAGATAGAAAGAGTTGCGACATTGAGAATTTAGAAGCCATTTTGTGTCATACGCGATGCGCGTTCTGTGTCTAACGTGATTTGCGTTCCTGTGTATAATATTGTATAATACAGTTATTGGCCTCCTGTATAGTTTAATTTCATTTAATCTTTTTAGCAGTCGAATTTCATGTAACTATTTATAGATTTTTTTTTAAATGATTTCACTACTTTATATCCAATTTCATATTATAGAATAATACTGTAAAAATTTACTATTTTTAAGCAGTTCTTTAATCCTCGCCGCGCCGATAGACCAAGAGAGCCCCCCGATGGCAAGCATTCTTTAATTAGGCAATCCTTAAGTAGCTCCTATTATTTTTGCAAACAAATGATATGTGACGACCAGCAAAAATTAATTAAATACGTATATCAAAATGTAATTTAAATCCGTCTAGCGTATATAGATTGTTGCTCTTTAAATTTGAATATGAGCGAGCCCTATACAAATCTTATGTTATTAATTTGATTATTATTATTTATAAATATTAAAATAGTATAGGTCAGTTGGCCGCAATGCTGTGCCTTGCTGTAAATGTTATAAATTGTAAGTGTTAAATGATATACAGGATCTGTGATATATTCAACTTGTGTAATTATGTAACGTACATTTTATTGTATTAAAAGCCTCGCCTCTATTTTAATATTGTATTATGGCTGTAGGCCTACAGTATGTTACTTTTATAAACACACTGCAAGAGCGTGTCCGCTGTTTTAAAAGCGTCGTTTCCAAAATAAAGTTATAATAATTATATAACAGTATGCAATAGAAACAGCATCATTTTTAAGATTATTAAACATCATTTTTATTTTCATTGTCATTCGTATTTATAAAGGCTGTACAAAGAATTAAAATTAAGAAAAACAATTTTTAATATCGTTTAGCGAACAACTTTGAAAGATCGTCAGAAAAGGGCGAAAAAAAATTATTTTTTCCTATTTAGCTTAAATATTTTTCCGAACGCATCTAGGCGAATGAGAAAATAAAAATAAAAAAATTTAATGATGAAAGATGTGTATAAGAGACAGGCAAAACATGTTAATTTCAAAACCAAAGAAAAGATTACATTAAATAAAATAGATCGGGTCTTCATTGATTAAAATGTGACGAATTAACGATACCGTACTCGCGCAAATATTTTTTGCACTTTCTCAGGGGCGTTTATTCGAACGGGGCGCTTATGAAAACAGTGGAAATTGAGGGGGCGCTTATGGAAATAGATTAAAATTGAGGGGTTCTTATGGGAAATTATTAAATTTAAGAGGCACATTTTGAATAGAAAAAAGATTATTTAAGGACATTACGAATGGTGCTTAGGCGGAAAAGATAGCCTAATCATCCAGAAAACATGGCTCATGACAAGAATGCATGAATATCATAATAGCAAAATAGCAGATGCAATTAGTGGTGGTGGGTGGTGGTTAGCTTGTTGGCCATCAGCCTATTGAGATTAGTAGGATGGCAGGACCATTGTATTTTTTATTGAAAACTTAGATGAGAATGTGCTAAAGGTCGGAAAAAGAAAAAAGAGGAGTAGGACTAGGAATATAGATATATGTAAAAAGAGTAAAGTTGGAAATATATTGTCTGTCCAGGGTTCGGAGCTCCCATCAGTCCAAGGAAAATATCCTCATTTTGATATCGACCTATGAAGAATGTGTTTCCACTCTGCAGCTCAAATCATGACAACAACCACAACCAGGATTGATTGGATTATTGATTTGCTAAAAAGAAAATCTTATGAAATTATTAGAAGTGGGCGGTTATTCAAACGGGGCGCTTATTCGCGCGAGTACGGTAATTGAAAACAATTCTAATTTTAATTTCAATCATTTACGCGAGCACGGAATTTACGCGAGCACGCACGCGCTAAAATATTCGATTATATATGAATTCTTATACGCTGTCCATACTAAGTGATGTTAATTGTAAAATATAGTTGTAAACCCAATTAAGTGTGTGAAATTAATATGCAATGTACGTAACACATATACTTTGCATGTGTTCACTGGGAAGATTATGAAACAAAATGGACGGTGTGTACCACGTGATTTTCGTAAACCAAGGAGCGGAATGTCGCAACTCTTTATATATATGGCTCTGGCTAGGTATAAAGTTGAACTATACCAATGTATAACCATGGAGGTATTAATAATAATACCTCCATGGTATAACCAGACGCAAACCGTGTGTGCGTCTCATGCGCAGATTCGTATGACCGGAATCTGATTAGAGATAAATTTTTCTTCCATTAGTGGAATTTGGAAAAAGAAGTGCTTTTTTTTCCACTAACGGAGAAAAACTTTATCTCTAATCAGAGTCCTTTCCACTAAGGGAGGAAAACTTCATCTCTAATCAGAGTCCGGTCATACGAACAGTGCCCTTCTTGTTTTTCCCGGCGCTTTTGTGTCTGTCATTTTATTGTTTTAGTTTATTAATGCCTACATTTTTTTTTAGATCCAGCCGTACGCGGCGCCCCATTTTTTGTACTCCCACCATACATTTCGGTGGAACAGTTTTTTTTTCTGTCGAGAATATCTTGTGTTTCTTTGGTCGCAGTCTGAACGGATCCGTTGCGCGCTCGTCGTGATGTTGCATTCTACATAGAATCGCGTCGGTCAACAACCGTCCGGCGCAGTGAGTGCCTGGCTTTAAGAACATAGAAATCTGTAAAACCGAACAGTGAAATTACAAATTGTAATTTCAATTGCAATTTCACTGTTTCCTGGTAAGCCGGTAATATAGTGTTCGGCCTACTGCAAAATTTAGGAGGAGGAGGCTACAACATGTTGTTATGAAGTAATAAAGAGACACAACATGTTTATATAGTATACTCACGGTAAATGTCAATATTTTGTAGGCCTACATAATGTACATTATGTGTACATAAGTTTATATGTGTACACATCATTACATCACATTTTTTTTCGACGAATTGTGGGTGGGTTTTTTTTGGGGGGGGGGGAGGAGAAACTGGAGGGACGGGGCAAGAAAATTACATGGGCAATTTTCAGGATCGTGTTCGACGTACGTTAGTTACGGGTTTACGCATGCGTATTTCGATTTGTTTACAAAAACGGGCGGAGCTATCGCTCTGCATGTTGGGGATGGTACTAACGTTAAAGTTAAGGTTAACGTCGTGCATCGAAAACTCCCTAATTTTAGGATTTTACGTGCTCGACCTACGTTAGTTACGGGTTTACGCATGCGTATTTCGATTTGTTTACAAAAAGGGGCGGAGCTATCGCGCTGCATGTTGGGTACTAACGTTAAGGTTAACATCGTGCGGCGAAAACTACCTTTAAACCAGGGAACAGTTAATTTAACTGTTCCCTGATTTAAACACTCTTCTCTTTGTCTCTTCGGTTGTTTGCTTTTGTTAGTCTTAGGATATTTCTCGGTTTTTGTTTTTCTGCTTTCAAGACTTTGCATTTCAGCGAGTAGATACTATTGTAATATGCGCATAATAAATATACAGCCATTACCATTATCATTTTTTTTCCCTGTTTTCTACATTTTTTTATGTTGTTATTGATTTCATTGTCATACATACAACACGAATGTCAGTGTATTTTGAGGTCTGACAGACTGACAGGGAAGGGTATAGTCACTCAAACTTTGATATATGTAAATGCTCAACATTGACACCATTGTTGTTAAGAATATACAGTACTTATATTTTTTTTTCTCATTATAAGCAACAACAAAAAAAATAATTGTATTGATCACGCGGATATAAAACGGATGTAAATGATTCGATGAAATTTACCAGGAAATGCTAGGCTTGCCCACATGATGTTTAATAATAAATTCATACGAGCCCTTTGTCGCTAAGCAACGTTTTCTTATTAATACTGTACTTGATGCTTGATCGTCGCCTACATACTACTATCACCACAAGTCGTCCGCTCCAGCTTGGTAAGGCGTGTCGTTTTTATATCGTAAACCACACAACGAATTTACTTTATCTTTAGTATGATTAGGATATAATTATATTATATTCACGTGGTGGTATTGTTATTAAAAATGGTGATTTATAATGTAATATAGCTATAAGTAAATATTAGACATAGGACGCAATGAACCGCGACGGTATATACACGTTCTAAACCGTATTTGACATTTCAGATGTAATGAAACGGGGCCGTGGAATGGATATCCACGAAGGCGGTAAGTGTTTCATTCTATATAATGTCGGTTTATTTCAATGTCGATGGCCTTGTATTGCATTGTATATGAA